CCCCACGCTGCCCACTGGCTTTGGGGATGCAGCCCCGCTCCCAGAGACCCACCAAGGGGGGAGCATGCCCTGCACCGCCTGCTCCGACGCAGCACGGGGTTCTTGGCTCTGTGCCCCCCCCGCGCAGCTCCCCCGCCCCGTACCTTTGTGTCTGATCAGGTAGTGTCCCAACACGATGAGAAGACTGAGCAGGAGGAAGACAATGACAGCAACCACCCCACCGATCATCGCGTGGTACGTGCTGGAGGTCGAGGGCACCGGGCTGGCATCTGCCCAGACGGCAACGGGAGAGAAAACAGAGAGAAGGGGACGCTGCGGACCCTGCTGCGCGGCAGAGGCTGCTACTCGTCCCATATCAGGTAGTGTCCCAACACGATGAGAAGACTGAGCAGGAGGAAGACAATGACAGCAACCACCCCACCGATCATCGCGTGGTACGTGCTGGAGGTCGAGGGCACCGGGCTGGCATCTGCCCAGACGGCAACGGGAGAGAAAACAGAGAGAAGGGGACGCTGCGGACCCTGCTGCGCGGCAGAGGCTGCTACTCGTCCCATGGACCGCGGCCCGATCCTGCTCAGCTTGGTGCCATCAGCTCGATCCTGCTGCAGATGAGAGCTGCCGAGGTGGGAGCAAGAAAAGAGAAGGCAGCAGGGGAAGCAAGGAGGGGAAAGCAATGGCCATCGGTGCCAGCTCCTCTGGGAGTGAGCCGAGAGGAGCCCCGACGGCTGCGCTGGGAGCCCTGCCTGGGTGAGAAGGCAGCTGAGAAGAGCTGCGCTGGGCAGACCCATCCCTGTGCCCAGCTGCCTGCGATGTGCCCCAGGGAGCAGCACTGGCAACATGCTTTGTGCAGCCCGTGGTACCTCTGCCTTCAGGCACAGCCATGATCCCACCACCCCATCCTTCACGGTGGGATTTCTGCCCCAAAAGGGAAGGCTGAGCACATGGCAGAGCCAGGCTTGGCTTGCTCTTCCCCTGCGCCGTGCCAGCAGGAAGGTGATGTGTAGGCTGGCATGGCCACACACTGCACCCCAGGAGGAGATGGCACCCCAAGGAAGGTGGGACCCCAAGGCCAGTCCCAAGTCAGCCTCATCTTGCGGCGCAGTCTGCACTGGGATCCTGCGTTAGCCCTGGTACACAGGGACAAATCCTCCTTCCACTCCACTCTCATTGTGCCCCATCAGCTCGGGGGGGACAGAGCCACAGAAACGTTCAGAGGAGGCATTCGGACAGGACGAGGAGGGAAAGACAACAGGGGAGGCGACAGGACAAGGGACGACATCTCACGTGGACGTAAGGCGCAGGTTGCAACTCCCAGGCAGCTGCTGCCACAACCTGCCAGGAAGAGCTGTAAAGACCATTATGCAGCCCAGGCTCTGGGGCCTCGGCTCTCTCTGTTGCGTACCACCACCCCAAAGAGCCGAGATGGTGGCTGCAGAGTCCACACAGGCTGCACAGGGACTGGAACCTGGCTGGGCACCTGGGATGTGGCAAAAGGGTGTCCCTGGTCCAGGGCTGGGCCACCATCCTCCTGTGGAGCTTCTCCTGCCGGGCTGGGGAGCAGTGGGTCCGTAAAGAGAGAGAAAAGGAGCTTACGGTACCTTGGATGGGAGCTGGAGTGAAGGATGAAGCGGTGGCCATGGAAGCATGAGAGATGGGCTGGGAAGGGCCTGGCGGAGGGGCTGGAGTGGAGTGAACGTGTGGGGTGGGGAGCTGGGAAAGATCTGGGGAGGACAAAAACACAGGGACACAAATCAACCCCAGGAGGTGCCAGTGAGGCGTGACAGAGCCCATCGGAGGGGACCCTGGCTCCCCCCAGCCTGATGGGACCTGTTCTTCTCAGCGGCTCCTTCCATGAGCCCTTTCTCAGCCATGGGTCCCGCTCCTCTTCTGCCACCGTCCTCTGGGACACACTGCTGTGATCTTCCCCCATCTCCTACCCTGCCAGCACCCCAAGTCACTCCTTCCTCTGTGAGGGACCCCACTGGGACCCTCCTGCCTGGGAGCCCTGGGACTGCAGTGCCTGGGAAGTGTCACCCACCGTGAGGTGCCACCTACGCTTTCCTACACACACCCTGAGGCACTGCTCCGTCCCCGCTCTCCCTCGCTGGGCGAGGTGGCTGCTGCAACAGGCAGGCTCAAGGGCTCGGCC